TTCCCTATTTATTCCTCCAGCCGTGCCCTCCACCACCCCTACCCACGGGCATTTTGTACTCTCTCCAGTTTCGCTTGCATTAAGAGACCAAGATGGCGGCCCGTCGAGCTCAATGATCGACATCTACGATCTCATGGAAAAATAGGGGACTGTGAACAGTCTAAAAACATATCCTATATACTCTAACACGGGATTACCATCCATTACGATTATCAAGAGCAATTTAGCAATTCGAGATTACTGAGCCTATTCTCTTCAGTCCATGACCGAAACCGCTTCATTTGTGAACAAACCGTTCTGTAACGACGAAGATTTTTGCATTCAATATAGTTACCTTTTTGGACTCTGTCAAAAATATGTCAGTGGAAAAACTTCATCTTTTGTTGCGTCTTTACAGAGAAACCTTCGATCACCACTCATCCACAAGGAGATATCTTAAGAGAAGGAGATAACGTGACGTTATCTTGTAACGCCACTGGAAATCCAGTACTAACAATATCATGGACCAGAGATGGATCTCCTGTAGATACGAGTAACAACATTTCCAGGATCAGTATTTCAGCAGACAAAAAGCAGTTGACAATAACGAATGTGAACAGGGCAGACAGCGGAGAATACCAATGTGTGGCAGAAAACAGGGTTGGAAGTGATACCTCAGATGCTGCCACGTTGGATGTGCAGTGTAAGTCAGAATCCTGTTGCAATAAAAAAATAATCCGGACTTCACGATTAAAGTGTCAGACCTGAGTTGATTTTTCAGCATCCATGGTTATAACAACTGTAATAACCTAACGTTTTGTATTGCTTAAATATTACAATAAAGTTGAACCTCGCTATCTCGAATTCGGATATCTCAATCCCTTCACTATCTCGGACTCAAATCATATTCCCTTGGATATGCTTTTCAGTCTTTTCCTATCAGCTATCTCGAGCCCCTGCTATGCTGAACTATTTTTCGTTTCCCTGGAGAGTTCGAGATAGTGGGATTCAACTGTACCTGAGCATAATACGCGGTAATCTTCAATCACCCGGTTTCAAACTTCCCGAGTTTTTGCCCGTGTATTTAAAAGCGTACCACCACGCTGATGCCAAGATCTCCAAGGAAATGTTAAAGCTATAGCCAGTCACAGCCGAACATGTAGGAGGAAGAAGCGATGAAATCTATCGCCAGGTGTTCAGACTGAACTGTTCATAAATTATAATTATTTGTAGTAGATTCTTATTAGTTATCTCAATGAAAATATTGTAACTCTCGCCATTCACATTCGGTGATTATGTTGTCATTTCTTAAAATGATTATTTCTTGTTCTAGATCCCCCTGAGATTACTGTTCATCCAGACTCTCAAACAAAAACGGAAGGAGAAAACGTGATCCTATCTTGTGACGCTGTCGGAAATCCAGCACCAACAATATCATGGACCAGAGATGGATCTGCTGTAGATACAAGCGGGAAGATCAGTATTTCAGCAGATAAAAAGCAGTTGACAATAACGAATGTGAACAGGGCAGACAGCGGAGAATACCGATGCATGGCGAATAACAGCCTTGGAAATGAGACTTCCAATGTTACTACACTGGATGTACAGTGTAAGTATAGTATCTATAGTTATCAACATTTTCGGAAATGATATCTGTAATGCTGCTACACTAGATATCAATGCAAGTAATTTATCAAAACCGAACACTACTGTCTTTTTAGCCTGGACGTTTGAAAGGCCTCTTGCCGCTTCAGGGTTCGGCACGAATCAGAGAAACAGAAATCAACATTTTGGCATTTATGTTTCTGAACATTTCACATTTCATTTAACTCATACTACCGAATAGTTTCCAGTAAACGTTTACAGTGCAACCACTTCAAACAAGGAAGCAAAGATCCAGTTTAAATTTCAGAATAAACCTGTGAAAACCTTAGACGTTAACACTGCATTTCCGACAAATCATTCATCTGAGCAAGCTGCCCACTACAGAAGCAATAAGTTAGTCACCATTTTTATCTTAACACTCAAACGTTGTTGGCAAATTATAAATTAATTTTCTAGTGTGGCCTTGTTATCGGTAGTCGCACTGTAACTTGTTAACTTAAATCCACTTGAAACATAAAAACAAACTTGTATAGTTTTGGATTTTGGCTGCTACGCTAGATATTCAATGCAATGTGTTAAGCATGTTGGAATTTATTTCCATGCAGTTGTGATTAAGATCCTTCTTTATCCTCACATCAGGCTTTTTGTAATATGGAGCTTGCATGTTTCTTAACATGTACAGTCCAGTTTTTTTTCCTTTGTCTTTGGTCCATTTTGAATGACAAACGCAAATATTGTTCAAAAATACAATGCTTCGGTAAAGTTTGAACTGATTAAACAAGTGTCAAATTGAGGAGGGGGGATACACAAGTAAATGTATATGAACATTGATGAAAGGTTCCACTTCGCTTCACTATAACTCTTCATTGTCAAGAAAATTGATCGAGTGCCTGTGAATTTTTGAGAATATAAGGTTTTTACAGTGAACACTCTCAGATTTGCTGGAACATATTCAAAGACTGTATTTCACGCCATATTTGCACGACTAATTAATTAATTAACTAATAATTAAATGAAAGAAAGGTTTGTGACGTATCTTCCGTAGAGTCTAAGATAGAGCTCAGTAAAGTCGGTGATCTGTCGTACCCTTCGCCTCAAAAGAATTGAAAATACTTTGTGTGGTTCAGTATCTAATTTCATTTTAAACTTACCCATTTGCGAGGAGCGTTGACTTTCATTCCCTACTTTCAGAGTAAGTCAGGAACTGAAGTTGTTCTGCATCAGATTGTTTGCCAGGATAGTAAAATTCACAACCAGAATGTTTAATATCAACGCTTATTTTGAAGAAAGCAAAATTTTTTAGCAACAAAGTTAACTTTAATTTTTCTGTCACTAACTTGGATCAATTTTATGGGAACAAATGTACATGTACAGGTGTATTTCTAGTAGTTAGGGCTCACGGTACCATTTTCATCTCAAATCGTAGTAAAACCAAAACCAAAACCAAAACCAAACCATTACTTTCGACACTCAATTGAAAACCACTCTATGAAGAGAGGTACGTAAATCAGTATAGCTGTTGGAAAAGTGCTGGAAACTGTTGCCAGTCACCTTTGGTTAAAACAAAATCAGTGTGAAAAATATTCTGTTTCTTGCTATAATTAGCTCAAAATGGTATCTAAAATATTCATGTGATTAAGCAACATTAGAACTGCATTTAATTGCCAATAAGAAATTATTTTAGAACCAGTGTAATTACATTGCATATGAGAACATTTATTTGAAAGTGTTATATAGATGAGTTTTACACATGTTAATATTTTGATCATGTAGCATATAACAAAGAACATTTTTCACATCTCAGACATCTGGATGCTTTTCTCCTAGTTGAACCTGATCATGAATTCATCAGCAATCCAGAGAATTCAACAGTGATACAGGGACAAAATATTACTTTGCAATGCGAAGCTTATGGCACTCCTGCACCAGATGTGAGATGGACAAAAGATGGAGAAGCAGTAAATATAGCAGATCAGAGGATAAGAGTTTCTTTTACGGGAAATACTTCAAGTTTGACAATTTTCAGTGTTGTCCAAGCAGATCAAGGACTGTACAGTTGTGTGGCAAATAACAGTATAAATACTGTTACTTCCTATCCAGCAACACTGACAGTACATTGTGAGTGCTTAATTGTGTTGTTTTCACCTGATGTGCAATTGATTACTTAATCTACTGGTACAGTCTCTACACATCATGTTTCCATCAACCAAGATGACAGCCTGGTTAAATTTATATCACTTCTTTGCATATTTTAATGAAAAATATAAAAAAAAAAATTTAACAACAACACAAGAACAAAACCAACAACATCATTGATAATGGTTTTTTCTGCCACTGAGAATGAAGAATTAAGTAGTTTGTGGAAAGTTTATGTAAGTTGTAATCTTAATATATTTGCCTAGTTCCTATCTGGCTCTCGCCAAGGCCTTCACCGTCATTTGATTTTGGTTATGTATCCGTAACCACCGTGGACCACGTGACCCAAAACAATTCACTGCAGCGACATATTGATGCCAGTAGGAACTAGGCAAATCTTATATGAGAGTTTGATGTGTCAGAAATGGTCTGGATTGAGTGAGATTTCTAGAACCAACAATTCAGTGGATTAATACAGTGCAAGCACCTTTTTATTACAACGTACATGTCTAGCTTAAGTGGGCTGAAATTTCACTTTTTAGGGAAAAAACCTTGCGGCCAGCTGGCCCGTAAGTTTTCAGATTTAGTCGCCAACAAAAAAATTTCAGTAAAATGTGTGAAGTGTTATTCTCCAGTGTAAAAAAAAAAAAAAAAAAAAAGTTAAATAAGTCTATAGACTGGTCGCAACGTCGAGTACTGCTTTTAGAATGGGTCTGAATTTTTTGAACAAACAAAGGAAACTGTTTGAAGAAAACATTTCAAAGTACATGCNAAAAAAAAAAAACAGTCACATTGGCGACACCAGCAGTCGCAACGTCGAGTACTGCTTTTAGAATGGGTCTGAATCTTTTGAATAACCAAAGGAAATTGTTTGACGAAAACATTCCAAAATATGTATTTTTACATTTACCTAATCAGGGATCATGGGTTATTAATAATTTCTGCAAATGTATTTATTTGTCCCAGTTGCCCAGCTGGCCCAGCTAAGATGGGCCTTGAGGTACAGAGATCACATCATTTCCATTCATTTAATATTTTACTTCATTTCACTTTGTTTTATTTCTGATTAACTGAAGCAATTTTGCAAATAACTGAAACAATTGCATAATTGAAATTGCAGTTGTGCCAGAAGTGAGGATTACTGTTGCTAAAGAACAGTTTGTTATTAAAGGAAGACAGATACTGCTGACATGTCAGTATAACGCTTTGCCACTAGTGTCTGAAGTGCAGTGGAAAAAAAATGGAACAGTAATAGCAAGAAATACTGTTGTGGAGATTAATAACTCACGAATGGATATTCCATTTTTCAATGAAAGCCAGATACAGCTGTCAATTAATGCAACTACACCACAAGATGCTGGAAACTATACCTGTCTCGTCATTAATGATGTTGGTAATTCATCAAATACAACATCAGTTGTTATTCAAGGTGTGTTTTCCTGGTGTATTGTATTGACTTGGGTTTATACAATGTAACTTTCAGTAACTATCAACAAAGAAAAAGCAAGTCATGCTTAAAATGAGATGGTAGTGAAATTACTGAAATGAGATTT